TGGACGCCCGAGTTATCCGGGGTAACTCGGGTCCGGGGTAACTCGGGTTTGGATCCCCGAAAAAGGAACCCGAGTTATCCCCGACCCGAGTTACCCCTGATGATTCGGGGCTCTGGACGCCCGAGTTGTCCGGGGTAACTCGGGTCCGGGGTAACTCGGGTTCGGATTCCCGAAAAACGAACCCGAGTTATCCCTGACCCGAGTTACCCCTGATGATTCGGGGCTCTGAGGATATGTTCTCCAGGCTGGTAAGGGAGAGACCTGAAGCGGGCGGCGGGCGGCCGAGGCAGGGGTTAGGCCGGCAGGCGCCCCGTCCCCCCGGCGCCGGGAAGCGTCCTGCAGGGGGGCGGGGGGGCCCAAGGGAGGAGGGAGGTGGGAGGGGGGGTAGGGAGGGAGGGAGGGAAGGGGAAGGGGAAGAGGAAGGAGGAGGCAGGGAGCATGGCAGGGGGGAGGAGGGAGGAGGAGGGCTTTACATTGTATTGGAATGTAGATATATACCTACCTACCTACCTACCTACCTACCTGCCTACCTACCTACCTACCTACCTATCTACCTCCCTGCCTGCCTGCCTGCCTGCCTGCCTGCCTGCCTGCCTGCCTGCCTGCCTGCCTGCATGCATGCATGCATGCATTCACACACACATACATACATACATACATGCATACACACATACATACATACATACATACATACATACATACATACATACATACATACATGCATGCATGCATACATACATACATACATACAAACATGCATACATTCATACATACATACATACATACATACATACATACATACATACATACATGCATGCATGCATTCCCACATACATGCCTACATACATACATACATGCATACATAAATACATACATGCATGCATGCATACATACCTACACACATACACACATACACACATACACATGCACACATACATACATGCATACAAACATACATACACACCTAAATACGTACATACATACATACATACATACATACATACATACATACATACATACATACACACATACATACCTACATGCCTACATACCTACATACCTACCTACCTACCTACCTACCTACCTACATACCTACCTACCTACCTACCTACATACCTACATACATACATACATACATACATGCATATATGCATACACACACATACATACATACATACATACATACATACATACATACATACATACATATATGCATGCATACATACATACAAACAAACAAACAAACAAACAAACACACATACAACCATACAAACATACAAACATACATACACACATACATGCATACATACATGCATATCTAAATACCTACCTACCGACCTACCTACCTACCCACCTACATGCATACCCATATACATTTATCTGTATATGTGTGGATATACATACATATGTTCCATTTTCTATATATGTTTCATCCTCTGGGACCCTGCGACCCCCCCCCCCCATTATAACACACGACCCCTCCGGATCCCTGGCGCCGGGCGCGCCCTGGACGCCCCTGCAGACAGCCCCCCTAAGCTTCCCTCCTGGAGCCCCTGCTGGCCTGGGCAGCGGACCCCAATCGGTCGGCAGGGCGGCCGGTCGGCCCCGCGAGAGCCCACAGAGGCCCCAGACGCCCACCAGACGCCAGAAGACGACCCAGAGAGGACCTCCAGGAGGCACTCGAGACGCAAAGAGCATTGATTCCTATGGTTTTTGCCTGATGTTCACTTCTTCGGTCTTCCGGGCGTCCGAGGCTGCCCAGGAGGCCAGAACATCGCCCCCCATTTAAACAAGAAAGCTTCCTGGCAGTCCAAGAGGAGCCCCAGGACGGCCCAAACAGGTCCAAAAATCCCCAAAACGCCTCCCGAATCATTCTAAATCGTGACCCGGTCGCTCAAGAAGACCGTGGTTGGAAGCAGGGTGGCCCGGAGAAGCCCCCAGTGGCCCTCAGAAGGAACCCAGGAGGCTTCCAGAAGGCCCCAACAAGGCCTTAAAAAAACCTTCGTGGGACTTACAAGACGCTATCCCAGGATGAGCCTCCACAACAAGAACTGAGGATGGTGGCGAATTCGAAGGGTAGGGCGAAAATGAGGAAGACTAAGAAGAAACATGAGGAAAGGAAAACGAATGGAATTCTTACAACGACGATGCCAGAAAAGGCAACCACGAATTGTCGCGAACTGCCCCGCTTTACCTTGCTACCTTCCTCTCTGCATGCCAGGCCTGGAGGAACAAAATACATGGCGCGAAGCACCAATGCAGCATTGAAATATCTATCTATACATACATATATATATACATATGTGTGTAAGTGCGTGCGTGCGCGTGCCTGCGTGCGCGCGCGTGCGTGTGCGTGTGCGTGTGCGTGTGCGTGCGTGTGCGTGTGCGTGTGCGTGTGCGTGTGCGTGTGTTCGCGTGTGCGCGTGTGCGCGTGTGTGTATGCGCGTGTGTATGCGCGTGTCTGTATGCGCGTGTGTATGCGCGAGTGTGTGTGTGTGCGTGTGTGTGTGTGAATGTGTGTGTGTGTGAATGTGTGTGAATGTAAGTGTGTGCGTGTGTGCGTGTGTGCGTGAGTGTTCGACTACAGAGTATCGTCCTGCAGGGGCAGGCGGCGGACCTGCCCCCAAGCTGGGCGAGAGTCGGCGGCCCTGCGCAGCCCACACAGAGAAGGCAGGCGGGGAGGCACCCCATGGGACCCAGCTGGAGAGGGCGGCGTGGAGGAGGGCGGCGTGGAAGAGGGAGGAGGAGGAGGAGGAGGAGGGGAGGAGGAGGAGGAGGAGGAGGAGGAGGAGGAGGAGGAGGAGGGGAGAAGGAGGAGGAGGAGGAGGAGGAGAAGAAGGAGAAGGAGGAGGGGGGAGGAGGGAGATTTTGGCGGCTGTGCGGCGGCCGAACGCTCTGCAAATGCTCTAGGAAGACGAGGGAGGGAGGCGAGGAGGGATGGGAAAAGAGGGGGGGAGGAATGGGGGAGGGGGGAGGGAAGGGGGGGGGGGGGGAGAGGGGGGTAGGGAGGGGAGAATAGGGGAGGAAATAAGAGACAGGGGAACGGGGGCGCAGTTGGAACATGGTTTCTCGGCCGGGGTAAGGGGAGGGGGGAGAGCCTCCCCCTCCTCAGACACTCCTCCTTGAGACCCTTCTCGATCCTCCCCCTCGAGCATTCCCCTCGATCCAGCTGGGAAAGGGGTGGGGGGTATGAACAGGGACGGAAGGGGGCCAGGAACGGGCGGGACAGGCCTCCCAGACGGGCACCCTTTTCGGAGTTCCTGCCTGCGGCGTCAGACGTGGCACGTGCGCTTTCAAACAACGAGCGCTCAACACCACGTTGATAGGTCAGTCTGTGAGATCGTTCCTGGGCGCCTGGCTAAGATGTGCCAAAACGTTCGCCGCACGGGATCGACGAGTAACAGATACGGTTGGGCTGAGTATGGGCCACGCAGTCTGCGCGTCCACCTCGAACAACTACCTGCGACAGCTACGCGTCCACGCACGCCTCAGATCGCCCCCAATTGAATTCAAAATAACCGTCCAGAGATTCCCCCATTCTTCATGCCGCAGCGACGCGGGATCCCCGTGGCGGCAAGAACAACGAGACGGCTGGAGAAAAATGGTAACGGCGCAAACGCAAAGAAAGGAGGAGAAGGACAGGCGGGCGGGTCTACCATCCAGCGCTTGCGCACATCAAGACACAAAGGGGAGACGGATGAGGGGGAAGTAGGAGAAAGACGAAAGAAATAAAAACGCGCGAACATGAATAATCTGCCTATGTACCTCAACTGAACTGCACGGAATGACGGAGCGGGCGTTGACATCGCAAACCTTCTCATCTGTCTCCATCCTCCTCGTTTTCCTCCTCCTCCTCCTCCTCCTGCCTCACCCTCCTCGTCCTCCTGCTCCTTCTTCATCCTCCCTCTTCCATCCTCATCTCATGCTGCCCCTGGCATTCTTTCCCTCCAACCTCCCCCATGTCCTCCTCCTCCTCCCTCCTCCTCCTCCTCCTCCTCCTCCTCCTCCTCCTCCTGCTCCTCCTCCTGCTCATTCGGCTGGCAATTGCCTAAGGTGGCGGCCCCCGCCCAGCGGCTGTGAGCTTGACTCGCGCCTTCGAGGACGACCGAACCGAGCCGAGCCGAACCTCCTGCTCATCACTCATCCTTCGGCTCATCATCCCGCCACTTGGCGATCCTCCCCCTCCTCCTCCGTCCTCCCTGCTCCTACTCTTCCCAGGGAAACCAGAAAGCACCGCTATCGCCACCCCCCAGACCTCTCCCTGGGTGCGTTCTGACCCGGATGTCGGAATGTGGAGCGAAACCAGCCGTGGCGGCGGTGGCCACCCGGGAGGCCCCAGAAAGGCGACGACAATAAAAAATAGCTTGGCACAGACCGTTGGCTGTGGTACCTTGGACCATCGATGCCTACCCTGCGCACCGTCCTGCCGATGCCTAGGCATCACCAAGTCAGTACCTAGGCGTCACCAGGTCGATGCCTGGGTATCTGCTACGCCCCGCTACGCCCAACTACGCTCAGCCACGTCCAGCCAGGTCCGCGGACGCAGCCCTCGATGCCTGCGTAGGCAGACCCGGGCGCCTGCCCAGGCGTCAGCAGTGGCATGCCCAGGCGTTCACCTGGGCATGCCTTCGGGGAACAAGAAGTGACATAAACACAAAAATTCAGAGGTCCGCGCGGATTTCTCGTATCCGCGCTGGGGCCCCCCGGCGGCGCCTACGGCGCCGCCCCTGGCGCGCTCCGCGCGCCAGGGAGGGGGGTCCAGCGCGGATCCGAGAAATCCGCGCGGACCTCCGAGTTTCGATGTTTAGGCCACTTTTTGTTCCCCTATGCCTGAGCACGCTGTGCTGAGAGCCGATCGGCTGTCTTTGGCTCCCCGCTGGACCCCCCGCCCCCGGTCCGAGAGACATCCGCGCGGACCTCCGACAGCGTAGCTGCAGGCTGGCTTCTCTTTCTTCCTCGGGCGCGAGCGGGCCGACCCAGAGGGCCGCGGCATGTCGGCACCTCTGCTCCTCGCGGCGGTCAATCAAAAAACGGCCCGGGGCCGAAACCGGCGGGCCCGGGCCCGCAGAAGTGGCGGCCGCGGCGCCCTCTCGCGAACCACACGGCCGACGCCTTGATCGACGTGTCAGGGTAGGAGGTATATGAAGGGGCCCTGGGACACACACACACACACACACACACACACACACACACACACACACACACGCACGCACGCACGCACGCACGCACGCACGCACGCACACGCACGCGCACACACACACACACACACACACACACACACACACACACACACACACACACACACACACACACACACACACACACACACACACGTAAATACACACAAATAACTGGCCTCCCCACATATTTCCCCCATGCTTTCTGGGTCTCTGTCTCCCCCCCCCCCCCACTTCCCCTATTTTCTCCCATATTTCCTGGGGACTCGTCGTGTATGTGTGTTCTTTTGTTCCCTCCTGGGTCTGTCGGCCTCCGATCCTCCTCGCCCCTTTGAGCAGGGACCGACCGTCCCGGCATTCCTATAGTCATACCACGGAATGTTCTTAGAACCCACAGATGTTCTAAGAACCAACAAATGTGCTTAGAACACGAAACCAATGTGCGAAAGCAAGACAGACTCCGCCAGAACTGTTCTAAGAACCTCTCGTGGAAACCACAAAAAAGGTCCTTAGAGCATTGTCCTCGCCATCGCTCGGACGTCCATTCCCTGCGTTTTTTTGTCGGTTTCGTGCGTGGCTCTTTCGCTATGCGATCAAGGATGCTCCTCGATGGCCCCCACCGAGGAAAAAATACACTCGTCCGAGCGATGCCAAGTGTTTTAACAAGGGATGAGTCGACCCCTATCCCAGGCTTCGTGGGGTTTTCGAATGGACCAAACATTTGGGGCCCAACCCTGGGATATATGAGGCGGGGGCATCCATCCTCGATAGGGGTGCGTCGGAATAGCCCCCTGGGGGTGTATCCCAGGGTTCCCCTCCTTTTCTTAGCCGCGTCATTTTTCGTCGAAAAGTCTAGGGTTGGGATGGGAACATCGCCTGCGATGTTTGATAGGGCTATAGGCGAGCCAGGACGCTCCGCCACTGCCTGACCCCTGGGCGGGCGGGCGCGGCGGGCTGCCGCCTCCGGGTCCAGGGCGGAGGCCAGCTCGCGGGCCCCCGCGTCCCCGAGGGCGGTGGAGTTGAGGCGGAGCACCTGTCGAGGCCGTCCTCCTTTCTCCTTCTCCTTTCTCCTCCTCCTCCTCCTCCTCCTCCTCCTCCTCCTTTCTCCTCTCCTCCTCCTCCTCCTCCTCCTCCTCCTCCTCCTCCTCCTGCTCCTCCTTTCTCCTCCTCCTCCTTTCTCCTCCTCTTTCTCCTCCTCCTCCTCCTCCTCCTTTCTCCTCCTCCTCCTCCTCCTCCTCCTCCTCCTTCTCCTCCTCCTCCTCCTGCCTCCTCTCCTCCTCCTCCTCCTCCTCCTCCTCTCTCTCCTCCTCCTCCTCCTCCCTTTCTCCTCCTCTCCTCCTCTCCTTTCTCTCCTCCTCCTCCTCCTCCTTTCTCCTCCTTCTCCTCCTTTCTCCTTCTCCTCCTCATTCCTCCTCCTCCTTTCTCCTCCTCCTCCTTTCTCCTCTCCTTCTCCTGGGCAGAGCATGACGGCGGACATAGGTCTGTCCACCACCCGCACTGGGCCCGCGGCCGGGGGTGCATCTTGCACCCACCCCCAGCGCGGGAGACTCGCGCACAGACTGCACGAGCAACTAGAAAGTATCTCCAGCAAACCAGTGTCAGATAGATGATATAACAATTGAATTAAGAGTGAAGCCTCTGGAGTCCCTGGACACTGTAGATCACTCCGCCGAGCTTGAGCTCACCTTAAGGGCTGTCAGAAATGCGGAGGGGAGCATCTAGTCCAGTAGCTTGGCCAGATTCTGCAGAAAGAACTCCTGGGAGGTCTTCACAAGAACGGCTAAGGACTGCAAAGCCAGATTAAGGGGCGACTCGTAAGCCGGATTTGGCTAGATGCAGCGGAAGATTGAGCTGAGCTGTAAACGACTAGGACATGCCAAAGGGGGTTCTGCCAGCGTTGGCTGGTTTTCGGCCACGGACACACAAACGCTGATGTTGAGTTCAACCTCCCAGGAATTTGATCTAACTCCTCATGCCTCCTCCTACCACTTCTTCTTCGCCCTCCGCCTCCTGGAGCCAAGACACCTTCTGGAGACGGGTTGGGCTCACCCATGCAGGCGGCACGGGAGGAACAGCGAGCGGAAGGCACATGCCAAGTGCACTCGCGCCATGTCTGACATCCTACCCCTTCCGCCCATTCGCTCCCATTGTGCTGATGTGGTTTCTTTTTGCGGACCCGCGGCATGTCTGTTCTGGAACTCCCCCAAAGATCCCACCGTGCTATGCACTATCAAAAAAAAGGAGCTGCGCACAAAGGAAGAAGTGGCAGAGGTGGAGGAGGAGGTGGCGGATGGGCGAGAGGATGAGCAGGAGGAAGAGGAGGAGGATGAGGAAGGAGGAGGACGAGCAGCAGCAGCGGGGACTGGAGTGGAACGCGCGGGAGGAGCAGGAGGACCAGTGGAAGGCGGAGGAGGGAAAAGGAGGTGAGCGACGACAATGAGGAAGGACCCGGATCCAGAGAAGTGGCCCACGCTGGGCGAGAGCGCCATCTTGAACGACGCGAGCAACGCGCCGATCCAGAGTGACGCCAACGCTGCAGCGGCAGTTCCATTTGGAGGCACCGAAGACGCCTCGACTGGACAACTACTGTTGAGGCGTTTAACGTTACAGTATTAATTCCCAGAACGATTTGTCCTGTAATGTAATGGGCGTGCGTGGGGGTGGGGGTGGGAATTGGGGAGGATTCGACAGAAGAAACTGAGAGGGGGTGGGGAGGATTTGGGAACGGGGGAGGATTCTACAAAGGAAAAAGGAGGAGCTGGGGAGGAGTTGGGAATTGGGGAGGCTTCTACAAAGGAAAAAGGAGGAGCTGGGAAGGATTTGGGACTTGGGGAGGCTTCTACAGAAGCCCCGTGCTTTGGAAGGGATCCGCGGAGGCGGCGGGCTGCTGCCCGACCGTCCTCGCAGGAGAGAGAGCCACTCTCAGACCGGGCAGCTGTGAAGAGTCGGGGATCTTCTGGGGCCTGGAAGTGGGCACCAACACCAACACGGGGGGTTGCCTCCACAGGGGGAAGATGATCCCAAATGTTCGGTGTTGGTGGTAATGTTTTAGCCACCCTGGAAGCCGGAATATTACCACCACCGCTGAGATCGGGATCTTCTTCCCTCGGCGGAGGCGCACCGCCGAGATTGGTGTTGGCGTCAACCTCTAGGCCTGAGACAATCCAGACCCGGGTCGGCAGGAAACCAAACAACTGCAATGCAGGAGAAAACAAAAACTGCATCGCAGGTCTGCGCAGACCCGCGTCCGCCCATCTGCGCGGCCGCCTCGAGCGGCTCGCGAACCCGGGTCGGCCAGAGGGGGTCTTCGCAGGATCCTGCGGGACCCGGCGCCCTGGCTGACCCCCGTTTGCACTGACCCCCGTCGCTTCGGCTAAGAGGGGAAGGGAGCAGCCGCCGGCACCTCTGGGGGGCGCGAGGCTATGCGTACGTCGGGCATGTCCCCCTACAGGCCTATCTTCGACGAAGAATGACGAGTACTAACAAAAAGTATTCCAACAACATGATCAACAAATGCCAGAACAATCGTCCCCAAACTATCTTTTTTGACTACTTTTGTGAAGATTCCTCCTGTAGAGGGACAGGTCCGACCCAAGGCTATGAAGACTTTGCTGGGCTGCTGCCTCGTTGCCTTTGCGGCTGCTGCTGTCTGCTACTTGTCCGTCCCTGTCTCCAGGGTGCTGCCTACCGTGTGGGCCCGCGACGTCGATAAAAAACACCCGGCGTGTAAACATGGCCGTGCTTGCGCGTTTGTGGATTGTGCTTCTATGATTGAGACTGTGTGTGCTGGCGTGTGTGTGCTCGCGTTCGTGCTCGCACCCATGTGTGGGCTTGTGCTCGTGATCGCGTTTGTGTTTGTGTCCGTGTTTCTGTCTGCATCTGCGCGTCTGTGTCTGCGTCAGTGTCTCTCTGTGTGTGTGTGCGTGCTTGAGTGTCGCGGTTGTGTTGGTGTGTAGGGTTGCACTTGTGGGTGTGAGCGAACGTGCGCGTGTGTTGCTGTTGATCCCCTGTGGGTGGATCTAGCTTCTTCGCGCTGCGCGAGCTGGGCCGGCCCGCGCCATCCCGCCCGACTTGGCCAGCCAGGCTCCTGTCCGGCCCAGGTCCTGCGCCGCCGCCTGCACCTCGCCCAGGCGGCAGTTGAGCGGTCGTCGGACGCTGGCGTGCTGCAGCTCGGCTGGGAACCTGACAGCCGGTCAGGCGAGGCCACGTTCGCCATGGTCAACGCGCCGCGGAGCAAAGCTGGGGTGGACTGCTCCCTCTGACCTCGACCACCCTTCCACTGAGGGCCTCGCTGTTCCCCCCCGAGGGGGGCATTGATTATTCCTCCTGAGAGGGCCCCGCTGGGATGCGCGAGGGCATCGACCACCCCTCTACAGTCGGGGCGTTGTCCTAAGGAACCCTAAATAAGGAACGAGGCCCCCTTTTACCATAAGTTGAGCTTCGATTTCCCATCGAAAACATAAGGAAAACCTGAGGCAAGCGGTGAAACAGTGGAGGAACACGGGGCCCCTCCCCAACGAAAAAAGGGTTCCTTCCTCAGGGACCCGACTGTACTGAGGGCCTCCTCCTCCTCCTCCTCCTCCTCCTCCTCCTCCTCCTCCTCCTCCTCCTCCTCGCTCCTCCTCTGCACTCTGCATGGTTGCCTGTGGCCTGCCCAGCCTGTTTGAGCGAGGGCGCGGGGCGTCTGCAGCCCCCTGAGGCGCGATGCCGGCGCGCTCCCGGGGCCCTGGGGCCCCCATGGCGCGTCGAGGGGGCGCCCGGGGAGCCCCCGGCCCTGTCCCATGGCGTATGTGTGTATATATATATATGTATATATATATATATATTATATACCGCATAGACCACCCTTCGGGTGATAAGGAGGTGAGGGGGGGGGGAGGGACCAGCGTCGCACTCGATGAATCTCACTATCGAACTCACTACCGATCTCACAATCGATCTCAATCGATGGATCTCACAATCGATCTGACTATCGATCTCACAATCCATCTCACAATCGATCCCACAATCGATCTCACATTCGGTCTCGCTATTGATCTCACAATCGATATCACAATCGATCTCGCATTCGATATGACTATCGATCTCACTATCAAACTCACTATCGATCTCATTATCGATCTCACATTCGGTCTCACTATCGATCTCACTATCGATATCACAATCGATCTCACAATCGATCTCGCATTCGGCCTCACTAGCGATCTCTCTATCGAACTCACTTTCGATCTCATTATCGATCTCACTATCGATCTCACTATCGATATCACAACCGAACTCACAATCGATCTCACATTCGGTCTCATCATCGATCTCACTATCGAAATCACTACCGATCTCATTACCGATAGTGATCTCACTACTAACTCAATCGATCGATCTCACAATCGATCTGACTATCGATCTCACAATAGATTCCACAATCGATCTCACATTCGGTCTCACTATCGATCTCACTATCGATATCACAATCAATCTCACAATCGATATCCCATTCGGTCTCACAATCGATCTCACTATCGATCTCATTATCGATCTCACATTCGGTATCACAATCGATCTCACAATCGATCTCACAAGCGATCTGACATTCGATCTCACGTTCGATCTCACAATCGATATCACTACCGATCTCACTATCGATCATCAAAACAAAACATCAACATCGTCATCATCATCACCATCATCATCATCAATATCATCACCATAATCGGGACACCGACGGGGCACCGGCGGGACACCGCGGGCCCCCGGCCGCCCGGAAGGGAATCATTTCGTCCGGCCGCGCCTCAGCCACACGGGACACCAGCGGGACACCGGCGGGACACCGCGGGCCCCGGCCGCCCGGAAGGGAGTCATTTGGTCCGGCCGCGCCTCAGCCACAGGGGACACCAGCGGGACACCGGCGGGACACCGCGGGCCCCCGGCCGCCCGGAAGGGAGACATTTGGTCCGGCCGCGCCTCAGCCACAGGAGACTTTCTCTCGCCCGCCCACGCAGCTTCGCCTCGCCCGCACGGCACGCACGAACACGAAACCGAAATCGATTTCCCGGTAGGGGGGCTCTCCGTTCCACTTCGATCTCACCCCCTCACCTCCGATATATATATATGATGCATATCCATGTGTATGTCAATATATAAACACTTGGCGCATGCATGCAAGCATGTGAGACAGTATGCACGTAATTCACCATGGGTACAGTGTATATGTATGTATGTGTGTATGTGTGAGTGTATGTATGTATGTATGTATGTATGCACGTACATGTGTATGTATGTATGTAGGCGCGTATGTAGGTATACACACATGCCGTCACACATGCATAGTACACACGTTCACACACATACATACATACATGCAGACACACACACATGTATGCATGCATGCATGCATGCACACATACATACATAACAACATACACACACAGTCACACAACTATATAAGCACACATGCATGCTTACATACATGCATACATGCATGCACACGCATACATACGTACATACATAGTTATATGCATGCATGCATACGCACATGCATACATACATACATACATACACACACGCATACATTTATACACATGCATGCATGCATGCACGCCTGCATGTATACACGCATTCATTCACACAGTCATACATACATGCGTACAACAATACATACATACATACATACATACATACATACATACATACATACATACATACATACAGACGGACAGACAAACAGACAGACAGACAGACAGACGGACAGACAGACAGACAGACAGACAGACAGACAGACGACAGACATACAGACAGGCAGACACACACATGCATACATACATATACACACATAACTACATGTATACATACATACATACATATAGACATACATGCATATATATATATATATATATATATACATGTATACATGTATACATGTATGCATGCATACATGCATACATACATTCGTACACACATACATGCACACATACATACACACCTACACACCTACATACATACATGCATACATACATACATACATACATACATACATACATACATACATACATACATACATACATACGTGTGTATACATATATATATATGATCCAGGGTCAGCCCCAACACCCCCTCATGATGACGCCATCGGTCCCCCCTCCCCCCGCGCGATGGCCCCCCCCCTGTGAGCGTGGCGTGGTGGGGTCTTCCCCTGTGGGCGTGCGGTGGTGTGTATGGGGTCGGGCCCTCCCCCCCATCAGCGAGGAGGAGGAGGAGGAAGAGGAGGAGGAGGAGAGGAAGTGAGAGAAGGGAGCAAGGTAGGGAAGAGAGGGCCAAGGAAGGGATGAGGAGGGGGACGGAGGAAGGAGGAGAAGCAACATCGTCGTCGACGGTGCCTTCCCCGTCGTCGCCTCCCTCTGGGTTTGGCGTGGTGTTGCGGTGCTTTCAGGAGCCGGAGCGGACGGTGTCTTCGTCGTCGTCGTCGTCGCTATCGTCGTCGTCCTCGTCGTCGTCGTCGTCGTCTTCGTCGTCGTCCCCCTCAATCCCATCTGGGGGGGGGCCCGAGGGACCCCGAGACCCATCCATCTGGGGGGGCCCTGGGCCCAATGCCCGGAATCTTAAATCAATCGCATCGTTCTGGTCTCCGTGGTATATTTTCCAGGGGGACAAATTACTAGTCGGCGGCGAATTAATGGCAGTAGGGATCCGGGGGGGGGGTCATCATTTCTTTAACAGGTTTTGGACATTATCCGCCAGCCCCCTTGGGGGGCCACCAGGCTGTAGGCCGAAGTGTGCTGCTCCCTGCACCAGTTGCAGTTTCAAGTCTCCAATGTTACAATCCTACTTTCTGCTTCCTCCTGTAAATTGTTGAAGCCCGCGCGAGAGGGGGAGCCCCAAACCGCCCGGTTACCACGCCCGAATCACGTTCTCAGAATTCCTGCTGGGCCGTCGGACAAGGAAAAATACATAATAATCGCCATAATCCGTTGTGAAGTCTCCCCTCAAGCGGAGGCCATCCCATTTCCGAAAGTTCCTCAAGAGAAATGCAAAGCTTGTTCCCACGTATTCGTGTGCACATGCATTACGCGACCGTCTATCATCATTGTGCTGATACCAACCATTCTTGCTCCAACCATTACTATGCGTCCACAGGTCTGTTCTCCTGGGAGACGTCAACTGCCAATGCCGCGAAATCACAAAATGCAAAGAACGACCACAGTACGCCGGCCGAAACAGTTGTCACAGCGTGGACAGCATTTGAAATACCGCATTCGATGCAATTTGGGGCGTGCAGGCACTGGCGACACCAACACTCACTGACTGCCCCCTCCGGAGGAGTGGAACGGCGGGTAAAAGGCAACCAGACGAAACAGAAACCAGGAAGGAGGACGGCGCGGAGAAGAGATCAAGTGGAGGGAACTGACGGCAACAGCAGGCACCAGGGATCATGCTACATACTAAATCATATCATGTCATATCATATCATGCCACAGCATACATGTATATCTATATGTGTATGTATACTGAAGGGGCCAGGAGACACACAAATAAATACACACAACTCCCAGGATTCCCCATATTAGTGCATATGTTCTGGATGTTCGTCTTCCCCCCACTTCCCATAGGTTCCCAGATTTTCCTGGGGATCGACGATTACTCGTGTCTGTTTGTGCTTTCCCTCCTGATATGTATATATATATATATATATATATATATATATGTGTGTATGTGTGTGTGTGTGCGCGCATGACGTCTCGGAGTCGGGGCTGTTCGCAGGGGGCGACGGCGAGGAGCACCCAGAGTCTTGTGGCCCGCTGGGGCCCCCGGACCTGGCCGTGACTGATCGACGCGCTCCTCCGAAGAATGCTGGCCGCAACCATTCAGTCGCAGTGGGATCGGCCGAAACTCTTGCCAGCGCCCGCAGACACATGGCTGACGGGCCTGTTTTCCACCACCACCACCATGAGTTGCAGGGGGGAGGAGGTGGAGGACGAGGAGGAGGAGGACGAAGAGGAGGAGGAGGAGGAGGAGGTGGAGGAGGAGGAGGAGGACGAAGAGGAGGAGGACCCCTCCCCCTCCAACTTATGGTGGTGGTGGTGGAAAACAGGCTCATCAATGGCGGCAGATTTCGAACCCAAAAACGTGTTCGTCTACTGGTAGCGCAGCTTTCACTTCGGCCGCCTTCCGCCGCCCGTCCGCCGGCTTCCGCCGGCGGAGGCGGCCTGGTTTTACTTCCGCCGACCTTCCGCCGAGGACGAGATGACAACGCCTTCGACACTCGAAAGGCAAGGCCAAGTTTGGAACGCCTCATATGGACACAGGGCGTCAGAAGCCAAGGAAGCAACTCCCACCTCCGAAAGTCTTCCAGCCGCGAGCCGCCCGCCCGAGAGAGCGGCCTGCAGCACACCCCGCCGAGCAAGGCACGCCAGTGCCACCGCCGCGCTGGCGCCCGCGTCGGCGAGCTCGTTGCAGGAGAGGTCCTGCACCGCCACACGAGCGCGACGACACGGGACGACGACAAAAAACGACCTCTGAGCACTCGTGTGCGAGGAGGTGCTCCGAGGCCGTGCAAAAGACTACGGCTGGGTACCACAAATTGACCTGGCTGGAACGGTGACAAACCAGGCGAGAATGGATCCGTGCATGTTATCCACGCGCACGTGTTCCCCAAACAATGACAGCACTTCGGGGCTCTTACTCCTCATTCAAGGAAGGACACGGCCCTGACAGACGGTCTGGCGGCTCCGTGCTCGCCAACGCCGCCTCGCCGCCGCCCGTCGTCTGGGCCTGCGCGCCGCTCTGGCAGCCACGTCGCCGCCTGCGCCGCCGCATCGCCGCCGCGTCG